TAGCCACTGGCAGCTGGAAGAGTCATGGAACACATTCTCTCCCAGATTTCTTATGCACCTGTCAAATCTTGGGCTTACAGTCTTAAACTTGTTGAGTTTGTGGTAATTTGTTATAGCAGGCTCAGTAAATCAATACAGAAGGCATTGAAAACTTGCTATCGATATTCACCACTGTAGCAAAAAAAATATGGATACATATCCCACACTGCCTGAATGACATCTTTTAACATGAGCTGTGCTTACCTACTCTACCAATTTCTTCATTGAGACTATTCAATTTCTGGTCAAGAATGGCTGAATGAGACTCCAAATTGCTCATGTATGCCTGATATTTTTGAACATCTGCTTGTAAAGAAGCTTTCAGTTTTCTCAATGACTCTAGACGATTCTTTAAGAGAAAAGAATAGTAAATTTGTTATTTTCATCAATAATCACTCCATACTTTGTTTAAAAAAGTAAAGCAATATCACTTAAATTTATCTTAGAGATAAGTAGATTAGAGTTTTCCTTTCACTTACAGAGGAAGTAAAAATAACTAAAAAGAGAGCTATACTATCATTATCTAATTAAAAAGACAGACTTATATTTAAAATTTGGTATTTATAGAACAGTTTGAATGCTGCATTAGTACCAAATAACTTGGGGCTAGCACGTGGGGTGGTAGTTAAGGTGCTAGAGTCCTACATGGCAGACTATGGTTCGAGTTCTGGACCTGGCGGTTTGCTTTCGCACTCCCCACCCTCCTCTGTTGCTCACTGGTGAGCATGTGTGCCCTATAGCAAATTCAGTAGTAATAATAATAATAAATAAAATTAAGTAAATGCTTCTTGAAAAATTAAAACAATTAATATACAACTTAAAGTTAAGATATCTGGACAGTATCATTTAGCTTTAGAAAACTTTTAGAATTTAATATGCTATATAAATTCATTTATTACCATTTCTTTTTCACTAAGCATAAAACTAAGGGCTGCTTATGAATAGGGCTCTCTGGAGGTGTACATTGACACATAAGTACCTTGGTCAAAGACACTTTTGGTCTTATGTAAATAGGTAAGAATCTTTCATCATCTTCTTAGGCCCATTAGTCCGAGACTGATAGATCACAAGGGAAAACAAGGCTCCACAGATACCAAATGTGTTTTCATTGGGAGTTCTGTCCTATGCCAGAAAATTTAACTCTCAAGAAGTTTAATTTGTTAATCCACGAAAATAATTTTTTTTGGTAAAGACAGATTGTATTTTCTAAGGTAACCCAAGAATATGAATGAGGTTTTAGGCATATAAACATGTTTACTAACCGGTTCTTTTTCTCTTTCTTGTTCCAATCTTGCAATCTGTTCATTCAACTCTTTGTTTTTTGCTGCTAATGACTCCAGCTTGGAAGCATCTACATTAAATAAATCCTCTGGAGAAAAAAAACCCAAAAACTTTTGTAAGATTTCAAATCTGCTGAAAATAAGTTTGCCAGGTTTTTTAACTATTGTTTGTACTCTCATTACCTTCTGGTCTCTGCTCAAACATTTTAAGTGATGTACAACCTACCTTGTTAAAAGTACAATGCCCTTCCCTTTACTCCATCCCTCTTTGTATCTGCCTTATCCTGGTTGATTTTTCTCCATGATTCTTATCCCCATTTGACTTACTGTTGCCTATTTCATTATTATCTCTATTAGAATGTAAGCTCATAAAGACAAATTTTTATCTTATTCATTACTGTATTCTCAGTGCCTCAATGGTAGCTAACACACAGTAGGTACACAGTAAGTATTTTAATGAATAAATGCCATTTATATGCTTACTTAATTATATATAGAAAAATTAAACAGCTCATTAAATGCTTTCTGTGTTAGATTACTACAAATTTTCCTCTGTTAAAACAAAACATCATTTACCTTGTTTCCATTCCCATGTGGACAAGTTGAAATTGTCCTGGTTATTCTTTAGGTAGGTACTTTCCCAGGGGAACATAAGGGAATGCTTTCACCTTTTGTACTAATAGCGGCTAGGTGATAATCTCCTGTATTCATTGATTCCACTGTCTTTGAAGTCATGGCTTTATACATGCTAGATTTATCTATTTTTACCTCCCACTGGTTTTTTTTTTTTTTTTTTTTTTTTTTTTTTTTTTTTAGGTTTTTTTCATA